TGTTTCTCTGGGCAGGGTCCCGCTCTCGGCTCTTCTCTGTTGATGGTCCCAGAGGCCTCTGCTCCTATCCTGTAGAATTAATCACTCCCTTCCTTGCTACAAAACCTCCACCTCTGCATTTCCAACCCTTATAATCCGTCCCAACAAGCATTATTCACTACAGTATCACGAGTTACTCATCTGTATCTCCTTTCATCAGCTCCACCCAGACAGATTGAATAGTACCTACTGGAGATTCTGCCTTCTGCCATGCTCCCTAGCACCAGGTTCCCTCTTGAAAGCTTGTAAGCCAGTCACTTCTTGCCTTAGTAGTCTCCCCCTCCCCATTTGAGTATCCAATGTCCAAGCTGCCCTTCTCCATCCACTCTGTGTGTGGGGGTGTATGTGAATGTTTCTCGCTGTGAGGATTTGTTCCCTCTTTTGAATCGCTGCTCCACAGGTATAGGTCAAGTTCATCAGACTGCATCAGCTCACTCTTTTTTTTTTTCTTTCTTTTTTCCCTCTTCTTTCCTCTGCCGGTTGAGCTCCGATCATCCAGTCATCCGGTCCAGGTCACGTGGGTATCATCTGCAAGTGTGGGTGCTCCTGTGCATATGTCCTCTCGTCCTGTCAGCTGGTAGCTCCACTCTCCTCTCGAGTCCTCCGTGGCCACGCCACTGACTCTGGGCCCAAGAGTCCCCAGACCTCTTCACACTGCTTGCCAACCAGGTCCCCAACTGGGTCCACATAAATGTCATTCTTTTGAAAATTTTTTCAGTTAGTTCCATTACATTTTCTTCCTCAGAAATGTTTTCTGGTTCTGTATCTTGGTTGTTTGTTTGAACCATTCTCTCTTGTTTCTTCATGTGAGCTAAAATGGTCTGTTGTCTCTAGGGCATAGTGGTGTTGCTGTATTTGTATTTAATTGATGATTCCATGTTGATGTGTTCTTAGGCTCTCACCTGCTATCTCCTGTGGCTGTACTTAGAGAATTGAAGTATGGACAGCACCGTTCTCTCTGTCTGCCATTCATTCACCTCAGGTTAGGGTGGATTTGACTGGTGTTGGCTGTTGTCTAGCCTTGATTATATGATATAAGAGTTGGTATTGGCTCTTGCTCTTTGGGTGGGCCTTTAGGAAGGTACAGTTGTGACTGGACTGTGTGGATGTGGTTACTGTCTCCTTTCGGGTGAGAAACAGATAAACCCTTCTTTCCTCCCCCAAAACAAGGAAACAAAAGAGAATAAGTAAACAAGGAATCAGAAATGAAAAGAGAAAATAATAAAGGAAACAAGATATAAAAAACAGGGAGCAACCAGAAAAAAAATAAAATAAAATAACTATAAAGACAAAAGAGAGATAGGGAACTGGTATAGAAGATAAAAATAAGAGAGAAAATAAAAGGAAGAAATTAAAAAAAAAACAATAACACTGAAGAATAGCTAAAAAGAGAAAAGAGGTACAGGAAAATGGAGTTCCGGGAGAGAAAAATAAGGAAAATAAGGAGAAAAGGATGAAATAAAAACACTTAGAAAAACCAGGGAGAAGGAGATGAAAAGAAAAAGATAGTAGAGAGTAGTAAAGAAAGACCAGAAGGGGGAAAATGACAAAAAGAAGGAGAAAAAACAAAAGTGGACATTGTTGTTGTTGTTAGGTGCCATCGAGTCGGTACCGACCCATAGTGACCTTAAGCACATCAGAACGAAACACTGCCTGATCCTGGGCCTTCCTCACTGTTGTTGCCACGCTTGAGTCCATCTATAGAAAGGATAAAATGTAGGGAATGGAAAGAGAAGAAGGAGGCGGAGAAAGAATAGGTAAACAAAAACAATGAAACAGCAAAAGGAAAAAAACCCAACCCTCTCCCTTAAAAAAAAACAAACAAACCCCTATAAGTCAGTGCAGCTGATTTGGACCCAGAGAGGTGACAACTCTGGGTGCTCCTGCAAGTCAAGGAGCTTATTAGTCAGGTGTAGGAGGGATGTGACAGCAAGTTCCAGGCCCTGGATGGATAACGTCCTATGGCCTCGGTGTTATCTATGTTCAGGGCACTCAATCCAGAAGCAGTTTGTAGAAGCCCTTTAGAGAGCTGGTTTTAGTGTCTGTTGGGACCACAGGGCAGCTTGGGGTCGGGTGATTGGTTAAATGCTGGTCTAGTGACTCTGTAGGTTCTGCAGGTATGGAGACAAGTCCTCCTGAATCCAGGCATCAAAATGGTGCATCAAAACGGTATAGCTGGCCCCAGCCTCACACTAGCGTGATTCCCAACCATATGACTCTGAACTGGAGAGCAGAGTCTGTGCTGGGGTTGGATGAGAGTTAGCCACACCACTGGTTATCAGGGGAGTGCACCTTTCTTGTCTCCTGTGAATGTCCTCTACCAGACCATCTTCGTTGACAAAGCTGCTTATAAAAGTTCAAGATAGTTGGTGGTGTGTCTGGCCGGCTGTTCACCAGTCAGTCTCCCTCTGTTACCATCTCTGCTCAACTTCTCTTCCCAGCAAGCACCTAATTCACTCCTCTAACCTTTCAATGAAGTTCAGCTTTCCAGAATTTTCTCGGCTGTCATCTTTATGAGATCAGATTGCTAGACTTCTCTTCCATGGTGCCACTGGATGGATTTGAACCACCAATGTATAGGCCAATATAGAGCACAATCCTTTTGTGCCACCCAGGGACCTTGGCACATAATATGCATAAATGAAACTATTATTATCAATTAAGGGACCTTAAAAATCTTACAAGGAGCTCTGGTAGTGCTGTGGGCTAGGTATTACTAACCCCAAAGTTGATGGTCCAAACCACCAGCTGCTCCACAGGAGAAAGATGAGGTTGTCTGCTCCTGTGAAGATGAACCATCTTGGAAGCCCTATATAGACAGAGTTGTTGTGAATCAGAACTGACTTAATGGTAGTGGGTTTGGTTTGGTTTGGTTAGAGATCACACAGGCTCTGACTCCTGGAATAGGTTTCCTTTCAACTCCAGTGGAGGGTACACAGTAGTGATTTCCCCTCTCCTGTCTGTTACAGGTGAAGGATCATGGATGCCATCAACCAGGTGCCGACAGATGCTGCGCTCCCCAAACATATCCTGGATATCTGGGTGATTGTCCTCATCATCCTGGCCACCATTGTCATCATGACATCTTTGTTGCTGTGCCCGGCCACTGCCGTTATCATCTATCGCATGCGGACTCATCCTGTCCTCAATGGAGCAGTCTGAGGACCTCCCAAGAAGGCAAGATGAGGGATGACAGGAGGACCTGGAGCTGTCTATGTGAGAGGAGAACTGAGTTTTGATTTCGATTTGGCCACTGGCCAGCTGTGCAAGTTTGGTCAAGATACCTAACTCTGTGAGCTCCAGGTTCTTTATCTTTCCAATGAGGACGGTGATCTCTGGTCTTCCTACCTCATAGGAGGTGAGAGGTTTAAGCTGTTTGTGAGCAGTCAAGCCACCACACATATACAAGGTGCTGTTGATGAGTGCTGGGAAGCTTTGAAGAACCAAAGAACCTAGTTGCTGATGGTGGACTTCAAAGTGGTGAGGATGACATGGAGGCAGAGCAGCCTTTGCCAGTGCCCCTCAGACCGAACCAAAGGGCACTCTGTACTCATTCTTAGGGGACAGCAACACATGGGCTCCAAGTTATTTTCTCTGAGGTGTCAGTTTCTCTGATTTTCTTGGTGGAAGGGAACTGAACATGGCAGGGAGATGGGGTGGGAAGATGGGTAGAACTTCTGAGAGCCTTCTGTTTGCCAGAATCTCTGCCCCTCTACAACCTGGAGGAAGGCTCTGCCTTTTCTTCTCAGTGCTGAGGGCACCCGCGTGGTAGACTGTTATGCTTTTTTTCTTTCTGCACTGGTAACCTCTCTGTTACCTATGGCATTCAAGCAGTTTTGGAAAATGCAGGGGACTGAGTTCCCTACCCAGCTTTTGGGATCTCTAGTCCATATCTTTTTGTGTTTCCCACAGAAAATCACTATAATTAAGCCAATTGTATAACATGTTTGCCTTTCATCCCCTCCCGCCCACACTGCCAACACTTATACGTTAAGAGATGTTTCCAGGACTTTGGAATCAACTCAAAACAATGATGGTTATTTTACAGGCTCCTATAGTTGTATTTATATAGGGACATTTTGGAATCAGTTAAGCTCTTTGATACCCAAATCAGGAATATCCTGGGATTTATTAAATTATATAAGATGATAGCACAGATATGAGGATATTATTGTATGGAAGTAATGTTTTTACTCTGATTATATTGATGTACACAAGTAATTTCCAATAAAGTATTTGAATGCACGTGTCTGAGGTCATTCTTTAAAGAGTACCTATTAAATTCAGGAACTCAGGTGAAAGGATTCCATGGAGTTTATGGGCCTTAGAGAGAGTGTGCGGAGTTCTGGTGGTGCAATAGTTAAGTACTTGTTGGTAATCAAAAGGTTGGAGGTTTGAACCCACTCAGCAACTCCGTGAAACAAAGACCTGGCGATCTGCCCCCTTAATGATTACAGTCCAGAAAACCATACGAGGCTTTTTCTACTCTGTCACATGGGGTTGCTATTAGAATTGATTCAATGGTACATGATGTAGGAACATAAAAGGAACTAGATTAATCAAATTGATTTTCAGGGTTTTGGCTTGGATAAGCGCGTACTACTTACACTGTTGTAGAATAAACTGGGAGGGAAAACATCTGGAACATAATGAACTTAATACTGGGCATGTTGAGTTAGAGGTGCTCGTGATATTTAGGTGAACACGTGCAACGCAGTGAATTATTTAATATACTTTTCTAGCCATAGTCTCTAACTCCCACCAAATAACTGACTGGGACCGTGCAGATTGGGTATATTTCTTCTTTGGATGATGGGTCTGGGTAAGATATGGATCAGAACATGTGGGTACTCTTCTTACATAAATAATTTTATTATGTGAGGTGAAAGAATTCATTTCAGTCAGTAAGCAGACATTAATTACAGTTATTTCATTTAATTTCTTATTATTGACTCACATGTAACTATTTCTATCATTTTTTGTTACTTAAGTGAACTGCTAGGCCCTATTTAACACCTGGAGTTCTGGTGCGGTGCTTTAGCACTCCACCACAAGGTTGGTTTGAACTGCAAGGTTGGAGGTTCAAGCTCATCAGCCGCTCCTTGGAAACACTGTACAGGGTCACTATGAATTGGATGACTCCATGACACTTAACAGCAACCACAACATTTAAAACATTTACTATAAATAAAAAGGAGCTCTGGTAGCATAGTGGTTACGAGTTGGGCTGCTAACCTTAAGGTCAGCAGTTCGATACTACCAGTGGTTCCGCAGGAGAAAGATGAGGCTTTCTACTCCCGTAAAGATTTACAGCCTTGGAAACCCTGTACAAGGTCGCTATGCGTTCAAACCGACTCCATGGCACACAGCCACCACCAAAGATTTACAGCCTCGGAAACCCTTTACGGGGTCGCTACGGGTCGGAACTGACTCGACGGCACTTAACAATAACAACAACTATAATAAAGTAGCAGGCATTTCTATTGTTTCAGGATTTACTTAGAAATTAATAATTGTATCAAATAATAATGAATTATTCAGTTTATGAGCAAAACTCTATGCTTAAAGATTTGGATAGGTTTGGTGTAGCATTGTAGGATCAGCACTGGACTGTCAACCACTAAGTAGACAGATTAAACCCACCAACTTTCCTCGGAATCGCTGTAAGTCGCAATCGACTCGAAGGCGCCAAAACCAACAACAAAGTAAACTATAGGAGGTGTTTTTAAAGATGGTGCATAAATATGTTTATAGAAACTCTTGTAGTTCATAGGAGGGTGGTGGCTCTATGGAATAAGCTTTGGACTGAGAACCAACCATAAGATCAGTAGTTTGAGCCCACTAACTGTTCTACGGGAAAAAGATGAGGCTTTCTGCTTCTACAAAAGATTGAAAAGCCTTTGAAACCCTGTAAATGGTCGCTGAGTAGGAACCGACTTCAAGGAACAAATAGGATAACTCAGGGAAGTGTGTGTGTATCTCTAGAGTGTAGCTGTAAGGAAGGTTACCGCATATAATATACACTTCTGATACACACTCATACACTTCCATGAATTATGTTGTTAAGTGCATAGAGTAGGTTCTGACCCATAGCAACTCTGTATAGGGGTTCTCAAGAGTGGCTGGTGGGTTTGAACCACCGACATTTTGGTTTAAACTGACCTTGCAGTCTAACATATTACCGTGCAGCACCACACCAGGACTCCATGAATTATCCTAGGAACTACAATATTCCAATACTGGATTGGCTCTTGGAAACTTCCAATAAGATTTAAAGGGAGTGATGAAGGAGCCCTGATAGCTAGTGGGTTACATGGTAAGTTGCTAGCCTCAAGGTCAGCCCTGTGAATTCACCAACTGTTCCTCAGGAGAAAGATGAGGCTTTCTGCTCTCAAAGGTTTACAGTCTCTGAAATACTATCCTGGGTCACTATGTGACTCCACGGCATACAGCAGCAACAACTCCAAATGACCTAATGTTGTTAAGTACCGTGCGTGGAGTCATCTCCGACTCATAGTGACCCTGAACAGGGTTTCCAAGGCTGTAAATCTTTATGGGAACAGAATACCTCATCTTTCTTCCGTGGAACCGCTGGTAGTTTCAAACTGTTGACCTTGAGGTTGGCAGCCTGACTTGTAACCACTATGCTACCAGAGCTCCTTAATGACCTAATAACTCCACTGAATTCAAAGTACATATATCCAGTTTTGTTTGAAACACAGGGTCGGCTGTTCAAGATCACCAGTCATTCCTTGGAAACCTTATGAAATGAAGTGCCTTTAAGTCGATTCCGACCCATAGCGACCCTGTATAGGGTTTCCGAGGAGTATCTGGTGAGCCTGAACTGCCAACACCACCTCGCAGGTTAGAGCATTAACCCAAAGAGCCAAATCCTACTCAGGGTTGCTCTGGGTCGGAACAGACTCCACAGCACTTAACAAGAACAATAACATATCCAGTGTTATCTTTAACCGTCATTTTTTGGCCAATGGGCCTACTTTTACAGAAACGTAACACCTGAAGTTTGTCTCCTTAGGCTGTCTTCCTGAGTGTGTCTGATGTCAAGAAATGGAATCAGCAACTCCCTAGGACTGTATACCACAATTCCAGGTGTTAACTTTGGTTCTTCCTCTCATTCCACATAGTCTATATCATCCAGTAACAATTATCAACATCCCACGTACCTTTACTCTTCTGCAGCATAGTAATTATAAACCTCAGTAATAGCAACAAACTTGATGGTTTGGACCAATGGATGACTGCAGCCGATGCCTGACTCATCTTTTGTGTTAATCAGTATTTCAAGTCCTTTTCACTAACAGTAAGCAAGGTTGTGTCATTTGCATATCTCAGATTGTTAATGAGTCTTCCTACAATCCTGATGCCACATTCTTCTTCATATAATCCAGTTTCTTGGATTATTTACTCAACATACAGATTGAATAAGTATGGTGAAAGAATACAACCCTGTCGCACACCTTTCCTGATTTAAGACTGTTCATATTCCTTGGTTCTGTTTGAATAACTGCCTTTTGGTCTCTGTACAGGCTCCTCATGAGCACAGTTAAGTGTTCTAGCATACTCATTCTTCTCTATGTTATCCATAGTTTGTTGTGATTCAAACAGCTGAATGCGTTCCATAGTCAATAAAACACAAGTAAACATCTGTCTGGTATTCTCTTCTTTCAGCCAAGATTCACATCTTACATCCACAATGATATCCTTAGTTCCATGTCCTCTTCTGAATCTGGTTTGAATTTCTGATATTGTTAAGTGCCGTCGAGTCGGTTTCAACCCATAGTGACCCTGTACAGGGTTTCCAAGGCTGTAAATCTTTACGGGAGCAGAAAGCCTCATCTTTCTCCCCCGGAGCGGCTGGTAGTTTCAAACTGCTGACCTTAAAGTTCGCAGCCCGATTCGTAACCACTACGCCACCAGACCTCCTTTGAATTTCTGATAGCATAGGATTAATCTTGTCCAATTTAAGCCCTGAGAAACAGTTGACTGAGAATTGGTGGATGTGGGACTTAGGCTCTATGTGTGTTGCCTAGTCTTTCTGAGACTGACCCCATGGTCTGTAAAGAGGAAATAAATAAAGAAAGGTTGTTGTTAAGTGCCATCAAATCAGTTCCAACTCATAGCGATTCTGTATAGGGCTTCCG